GCACAAAAACTATTGTTCTTTGATTTTTTCCTCTTCATAAAATGCAAGCACTCATAAGCACATGTAATATTGTCTGTTATCAATCTACCAGGCACAAAGGCTGACTGTTCTGGAGATATGATATCTGGAAGTATTTGCTCCAACCTGTTGGCCACCACCTTCGAAGCTATTTTGTACAGAACATTGCATAAACTTATCGCTCTGAATTGCGAGAGAAGGGTGGGATTGTTCACCTTAGGGATGAGTACCAAGATGGTATTGTTAATGCACTCTGGGCTCTCTTCCCCTCTCACAATCCTTAAAACAGCATTAGTCACTTCTTCTCCACATACATCCCAGTGTTTTTGGTAGAACTGAGCAGGAAATCCGTCAGGACCCGGAGCCTTTGTAGGGAACATCTGGAAGAGGGCAGTTTTCACCTCATCACGCGTATATGGTGCGCAAAGATCTGCGTTCATTGCTGCTGTGACCTTAAGTGGGACATCTTCGAGTACCTCCTCCACTCCTTGCACCCCCTCTGATGTGTAAAGATTTTGATAAAAAGCATTCACCATCACCTTCAACTCCTCCGGATCGCTCACCCCCACACCCAGTGTATTTTCAAGAGCCCTTATCATATTCTTCTTTCTTCTCAGACTGGCTCGAAGGTGGAAGAATTTTGTGTTCTTGTCTCCTGAAGAAAGCCATTCAGCTCGAGCCCGTTGCCTCCACATGATCTCCTCTCTGTGATAAAGCTCTACCAACCTCTCATTGATTTTGATCTCAGCATGCGATGGTGCCAAACGCAAAGGATCCCCCCTTAATTCCTCTAATTTCAGTTTTAGCTCTCTGATCTCCTTTCTCACGTTTCCAAAAGATTGCCTACTCCACCTGGTGATCCCTTTGGAAACAGCGGCCAATTTATCATGCAACTGCTGCACCGTCACACATGGTCCTGAGACTGCCCATTCTGTACTCACCGCCCCTCCAAATCCATCATGTTTCTCCCACATCAGGTAAAATGCTCGTGCTACTAAATGGGCTGCAGTCGAGCAGTGTAGCCCATTTAGCACAGGTTAATTTTGTACAAATACTCACAGTAGTAATACACATGCTACTAATTTCCATTTTGCACACGTTTACGGTAGTAGATTTTAGTCATAATAATAAATTTAGATTAAAATGTTTGTGTGGTAATAATAATTACCTAATGGTATACAAATATGCATGTGCATGTATTATTTAAAAAAAATCGATAAACCAGGCTCCATGCCATGTCTTCGGTTATAAAAATTTGTGGCACACAAAATACATATATAGATCTATGTAACAAAATAACTTACTAAAAAGGTTCCTGCAATTTTTAGAAATAACCACGTATTATTTATAAAATATTATTTTAAATACAGTGAATAGAAACATTTTTATACATCAATGGCTTATATTTAATTATATAAATTTAGGGATAACAACATTTAGTAATTATTTACGAATATTCATTGTTATATAATTTGTCTTATATTCTTATTTTTATGTAATGTAAATATAATTCCTGAGTGAATAATCATGAAAACATTTTAACTTTTAAATTATGAATTATTTTAATTATAGAAACATTTTCTTAAACAACATACTTAAGAATTATAAAAATGTATGTATAACTACTAAAATGTTTGAAAAATAAAAATAATATTTATGAACTGCAATATTAAAAATATTTTTACTATTTTATATGATTCAAACATTTTTATATTTCATATATATTAGTTAAATAATACGAATTTTTCTAAGATAATAGATGAATATTATTAATATTACGTGAACATTTTTTAAAAGTTAGTTATTTTAGTTTCAAGTATAATATTTATAACTATAATACCACACGAATAGTGGAAATTTATTTGTTTACTTTGATTTAAAATTAACAGACGTCTTATAGAGTTTTTTCTAAATAAACATGTGTCAAATGGGCCGCACAGACTACTTATTTAAGTACCTCTAGCTTTGATTCTCAAAAAAGTACCTCCAACTTTTTGTCTTAAAGTACATTTGGTTTCACGGGCCATACTTGGCACTTAGATCTGTTCGGTGGAGTGGCAACCACACCTCGATCTGGACTCTTGAGGTCATATATGTTATCCCTCTAAGGTTCTTTCTTTGCAATTTTCTTTCTGAACTGACAGACGGGACCCACTGGTCATATGGACATATATTCAACTAATATCATGTTTCGTCTCTACAAATGGACCCCCATGCCACATCCGCCAAATACGGTGCCACGTCAACACACTCTACATCTACAATTCACTTATTTTTTAAAAGTTTCCTGAAATTATCAGAATTCTAGTTTTCATTTTAGAGAAAGTTATCTATTTTTAATGGACACTTCCATTAATAAGTCAAAATATGACCCCAAAAAAGTTATATTAGATATGTATTGTATTATCCCGGTAGCTTCCGCGCCCTTCCTGCCTGCTTCAATTGATGTGAATGATCGTGTCTTCGACTTCTTCTTCTGTTTTTGTATGCAGAAGGATGTCGGTTCTGCTTCGCTCTTGCTTCGTGGTCTTGAGCAAGTAACTACTCAGATTCACACCCTGATGTTTATTGGAAGGTAGAGATGAGGATAGATCTACCGGAGAGGGGAAAAAAGATCTCGTGGTAGGACCCTATTGAAAGTGCAAGGAACTTGAACCCCGGTAGCTATAGTAGCTATCTGTTCTTCCACTGGGAGATAAAATAGAACTTACCAATTGGAAATGGAAATGCCGAATGAATTGAACCAAACTACGGAAACCGTGGTTGAGCTTGCCTGTCATCAACGAAGGATGGTTCTATTTTCCTAATCTCTTTAGCAAGAAAAGTTTGAAACTTTATCAGAATGATCTACATGGTAGTGTTATTTCTCTCAACATGCAAGCATGCCACCTAATCATTCAACATGCATAGAAAAAGGCTCACCTCAACATGTGACTATGCATATTAAAAATCCACTTCAACACGTAAACATGCATGCGTGTAAAATTCCATTCTATTTATGATGTTTACATTTAATTATTTTATACTTAAACAACTATTATTTCAAATATTCATGTTCCATATAACCAAAACCTCATTTGCAAAATATTCCCGCAACAATGTGCGGGGCATCATCTAGTTACTAAAAAAGGCGTTGAATGTATATTTTCCTTGTATTTTTAGTTTCCTCAAATTATCAGAGTTCTAGTTTTCATTTTAGAGAGTTTTGTCAGTTTTTAATGAACACTTCCATTTTTAAGTCAAAATATGACCCCAAAAAGTTATACTAGATATGTATTATCCTTCTATTTTCATAATCTCTTTAGCAAGAAAAGTTTGGAATTTTCTCAAAATGACCAACATGGTAGTGTTATTTCTCTCAACATGCAGCATGACACCTCATCATTCGACATACGTAGGAAAAGGCTCACCACGACATCCGACTATGCATATTAAAAATACACTTCAAGATGTAAACATGCATGCATGTAAAATTCCATTCTATTTATGATGTTTACATTTAATTCTTATATAGTTTAAACAACTATTATTTCAAATATTCATGTTCCATATAACCAAACCTCATTGAAATATTGCAAAATATTCTTGCAACAATGTGGAGGGCATCGTCTAGTTACTAGAAAGGGCTCTGAATGTGTATTTTCCTTGTATTTTTTAATGTGTTTGGATTTAGGTTTCCTAAAATTATCAAAATTGTAGTTTTCATTTTAGAGAATTTTCTCAATTTTTAAAGGACATTTCCATTTTCTAGTCAAAATATGACCCAAAAAAGTTATACTAGTTATGTATTATCCTTCTATTTTCTTAATCTCTTTATCAAAAAGAGTTTGAAACTTTCTCAAAACGATCAACATGGTAGTGTTAATCTTATAAAATTATTCACTTTTGTAGATACTTTCATATTTTTTTTGTCAAAAATTGGCAAAAGAAGGACCTGAATATGTATTTCTTGTATGTTTTAATCTATTTTGAAAAAAAAAACTATGAATTTTTCACAGAATGATCAGCATAGTAGTGTTCATTTGGCATTTTTAATAAAATCTAGATGTTTTTTTTAATTTATTGGCTGGTGACATAGTTGGACACTGACTGGGCAGGTGAACTGGTTAAAACCAGTAAAATTGACAATAAACCGGTTTGAGGGGATTCGGGATCGGAAGTTGTTCACTTTTCAAAGTTTGCTGTTGTTTCTTAGACCATCTTGTATTTCGGGGTTGTTTCTTAGTCATTCATGTCAATTTTTCATGGCTGAATTATGGACTCCTCTCAATAGAGAGGGAACCCACACTTGGCCGGCAAAATAGTGCTGGCACCGTGAAGGTGGCATCCTGTTTTGAATCCAGCTAGGCTCGAGTCCATGCCGAATTTCAAAACTCTCCTACGTATTTACCACTTCGCCACTCCTAGACATCTTGTTAGACGGCCAGGTGTTATTTTATTTACATATCTTGAGCCTTCAAGGTTAAAAAGAAACCTCGCGTTTTATTTGTCGGGGAGAGTAATGGGTGGCTCTGGGCTTGTAGTGGGCCCGACTAGACGCAATTGCACTATGAGCCCTATTAACGGCCCACAAATCAATCAACCACTCTATGGTGCAATTAACTTCTTTTTTGGCAAATTCTCTAATATAAAATTATTTCTCAAGACCTAAACATTATTTCACAAAAGAATCAATTATTTTCAAATAGTCCACTAAAACAATTATTTTCCAACATCAAGCATTAAAAAACTGTAATAATAATACACTGCATAAAAACAGCTGCAAATAGTGTATAGAGACGAGAAGACGATCGAGTGAGCTCGGGGCAAATGTGTGTCAATATCTACATTGGTCGGTCGACCAGAGGATCCAATGATTGGTTTTTCATTTGATGCTCACCGTGCCACTCACTCATCGCTACATACAAGGCGTATATATGGCCGAAGCTTGAGCTTTTGCACAACCAAACTGGAGTGAAAACGAAAACTAGGTGGGAGAAACATTAGCATATGCATGCAAGTCCTTCCATGGTAATGCCACGATGATGATGATCAGTAGACTTCGACGTTCCACTGCTCGGCCTTCTTGAGCTGCTTCTTGTAGTCGATCCAGTCGATCCCTAGCAACAACAAATAGAAAACATTTCATAATCTCATCATCAGAAAGCTTTCCCATGGATCCACCATTTTCGAACTTCACGGATCAAGATGAGTGAATTGTTGGTGCATACCGTCCTTGGCGGCGAGGTCGACCATGATGTCGTCGATGCCCTTCTCCATGCCCTTGAGCCCGCACATGTAGACGTAGGTGTTGTCCTTCTTGAGCAGCTCCCAGAGCTCCTCCTTGTACTCGGCCATCCGCGTCTGGATGTACATCTTCTCCCCCGCCGCGTTCGTCTGCTCCCGGCTCACCGCGAAGTCCAGCCGGAAGTTCTCCCCGCCGATCTCCACCATCTTCTCAAACTCCTGAAAACATGCGAAGTTTCCATGTTCCATGTCAGGCAGATGCATCACCGTCTGAAGTCTGAACTTACCAACAGTACTTTTACTAGCTAGCCACACTGAATTTCGTACCTCCTTGTAGAGCAGAGTGTCACTTGTGGGGACTCCCAGGAAGAGCCATGCCAGGCCATTGAACTGCACACCAATGTTTGTAGATCAACATTTAACTCTGATATTCTGTTGTGTTTCATTGGTAATTAAACATTGACTGGCTTCGGTGCCATAGATTTTGTGCATGCATAGTTGGAATTCGATTACTGTTGTTTACTTGTGTGGTGGTTGATCCATGTAAAGTTACTGACCTTGTAGTCCTCGTGCTCCTCGAAGAACATCTTCCAGAGGAAGGAGCGGAACGGCGCGATACCCGTACCCGTCGCGAGCTGCGATTATGGATGCATATGTCAGCAAGTTGTTCATGAGCTTATCAGCCTATGACTATGGATAGATCATGGATGGACATGGATGGATGCAAGTGGTGGTTATCCATTCCATTCATTTGAAGCGAGAATTAGTGAGTGTGCAGTACCATGATGATGGTTGCGTTGGGGTCCTTGGGCATGAGCATCTCCTTGCCCACCGGCCCAGTGATCTTCACTTCTGAACCCGGCTTCAGGTCACCTGCACATCAAAATAGCAGCTCAGCAGACAAGAACAGAGACATCAAAATAGCATCTCGGCGTCATCATCAATGCGTTTCGTTTCAATCTCCGATCAATCTTCGGCGATTGATTGATTCATCGATGAACGAATATGAAAAGAGATATATGTTACTGACAGAGGAAGTTGGAGCAGACGCCCTTGACGACCTCCCCGGCGTCGTTGGTGTAGACGAGGCGCTTGACGCAGAGCGACACGGTCTTGGAGTCCCCGAAGTCCCCCAGCGCGCTGCTGGCGATGGAGTAGAGCCGGAGCTTGTGCGGCTTCCCGTTCTTGTCCTCGCCGTCGGCGATCACGCCGATGGACTGCCCCTCCCGGTACGGCACCTCCCCCTCGGTGCTGAACACCATGTGCCAGGTCTCCCCCGGCGCGTTGTCGCCGGTGAGCCGGGTGTTGAGCAGGCACCGCCCCACGTAGGGCTCCTTGGGGCGGTACTTGTTGGTCACCACCCCCTCGTCCTGCTTCTTGGAGATCTTCGCCGGCTTGGCCGGCGCCGCGGGGGCCGGCTCCGCGGTCGGCTCGGTCGTGGACACCTGCGCGCGCACGCCATTGCGGACATTGCGCGGCCGGCTGGGGTAGGCCAGGAAGTGGCTGGACGGGGACGAGCCGCCGCCGGCCTTGGTCGTGGCCGGGGAGTAGGACGGCAGCGCGGCTGTCAGCTGGGCGGCCATGGTGAGGGAGGGTGGGGGTGGAGTGCGGACGTGCGGTGTGGGAGTGGATTGGGTGGTGGTATTTGGGATGAGAGGAGGCGACGGAGTGAGTGGAAGGGAGACGAGGTGAGAAGCAAGTGGTGGTCACCGAGCGCCCGATTGGAGGGAAAAGCTGGCTGCCCGGCCGTGTCCTATGATACTGTTCAAAGTGACTTCATTTTGGATAACCAAATTCTTTTCTTTCTGTGGTACAACTATCAGAAACTCCAATAACTCGGGCCAATCTCTAGCTGCCATGTGTATGGCCTTTAAGGTATGTGAAATGATTCCCCTCACCGGATGATTTCTTGGCTCCCATCCGCCGCCTCACTCGCACAACACGTGTCCCGCATGACATGCCCCTGGCTCCTGATGATTTTTGTTTTTGTTATTGCAACTGATGTTGTACAAGTTTCTCCCACAACATTAGTTAAGTTGTAAAAAGGTGAACACGAAAAATTAAATACAACAACAAAGGCTTTGTTGCAACAAAAAAATTGTAACAAGATCTCAGTTGCAAAAATATCATGCACCAAGACCTCTGTTGTAGAAATTTCTGCAAGAAGACCTATGTTGCAATGATGGAGGGGCGCCGATGCGCCAGAGGCCACGCGAGTTGGCTAATCTTTTAAAAATATCAGCCGTCGCACGCATATCACACCCCTTGAAGTATACTGGAAATTACTCTCTCTTTTAAAACCTATTCGTACACAAAAAAAGTAAACAAGATTTTTGAGTATTTTGAAAAAAAATTAAATAACATAAAGATTTTAAAAAGTCTATATAAATAGATCTAGGTTTTTAAAATAACTTGAGATTTTTTTTCTGGTTTTCGTTGGTTCGATTTATTTTTAAAAGCGGTACTATTTAAAAAAATTGCAATAAATAAATTTAGTGTCTTTTTAGAATCAAATATTTCAAAAAAAAATAGTGTCATTTTAGATTCAAATATTTCTGACATCTCTTAAATGAGTTTATGATATCTCATGCATTTGAGACCCAAATCAACAAACATTTGAAATTATTCAATACATATTTCAAAATTTGACCTAATTTATGGCATTTCAAGAAATTCAAATTTTAAAAGATTTATTAAAATTCAATTTTTTTGAAATAATTTCAACGATCCTTCATATGCATAGGTTTCAACTGTTTCAGCCACAATTTTGTTAATTTCAATAATTTTCCACCCACATTTCACAACAACTTAAATTATTCCATACAGGAATAACTATTTCACATCGTATGAGAAACTTTAATACATACCATTCAAAAACTATTAATTATTATTTCACTTTTCATAGTTTCATGTATTTTGGAGTTCTTTCAGAAAACATTTTCTGTAAAATATATATTTTGACATCCATTGCTACAATGTATTGTCTTTTGTATTTTTGGCATTACTTCAAAGAAAGGACTTGGTACATGCACTGTAACAAGGTGCTTTTTTTAGTTGAGGTGCAAAGCTCCCAATTTCATTTCACAAAATGAAGCTGATAGTTTCAGGTATTTTCGTAACTCTATAATCAACCAAAACTCTTGGTCAACTAAAAAAAACAGTGATATTTAAAAAAATTGAAAACAATAATTCCCGTGTCTTTTTAGAAACATGTATTTCAAATGAATTTTAAATACATCAAATAGTTTTCAGCGTATTCAACAAACATTTCAAATTATTCCACACACATTTGAATTTTAAAATAATTTTGTGACAGTTCACAAACACCAGTTTCAAATATTACATATGTATTCCAAAAAAACAAAATTTCGAAATAATTAAAGTGACAGCATGCAATAAATTTTCAATTAATTCACACCATGTATTTTCAGTTTCTAATATATTTTAAAACAATGTCACACCATGTCACAAATTTCATTACAGACCATTCAAAATCTATTTAAAATATTTTTGAAATTTAAAGGTATATATATGGGAACTTATGTCTCTAATAAGTTTGTTCCATTTTGCTGTTGTCCTCCATTACAATCTTCCACTGGTCTATTCACTCCAATTCCAAGATTGTACCATGGATGACGATGCACGCACGTCAAACACGGAAGGCTTCACGCTCAAACACGCCAGGCGAGACACTCGTATCTTGTGCCACCGTTGCCTATGATACTATTCAAAGTGACTTCATTCGGATTACGAAATCATTTTCTTTCTCATGATGTACAAATGTCAGAAATTCAAATAACTCCGGCCAATCTCTAGCTGCCATGTGTATGGCCTTTAAAGTAGGAAGCCCATAACTGGCGAACGTTTGCCAGGGAGGGTGGCATTTGCAAACGTTCGCCTGGCAGTTTTATTTGAGAGGGAGAGGGAAGAAGTGACACTTTCTTCAGACGACATGACATTTCTCTCTGGGGAGGTAATTTTTTGTTTAAAAACTGTCAAAGTTTGATCTCCTTTTACAACTAAGCTGCCAGCAAAGATGGTTCGCTTGTCGTCCCGCCTATAGCGAAAGTTCGCCAGCTACCATTACCATTAACATATCCTAGAAAGTATTGTCCCTTTTGTAAAAAAACCTATTCATATGAAAAAATCGTAAAAAAATTATATTTCTAACAAAATGAAAAATAATGTGAAGATTTTAAAAAGTTGATATAAATAACTCAGGGTTTCCAAAAAAAGCTTGCTATTTTTGCTGGTTTTTGTTTGCTCAATTTCTTTTTAAAAGCAGTGATATTTTTTAATTTCGAAATAAATAAATTCTGTGCCATTTTAGAAATAAATATTTCACTTTCCTTTGTACATATTTCAAATGAATTCAAGGTATCTCAAACAGTTTTGATCTCATTCATTAAATATTACAAACTATGCCACAATATTTTAAATTTGGACTTAATTTTATGACATTTCAGGAAACACTGAATTAAAAAAAAGTCCATTCATATTTAAATTCAATATTTTGAAAAAAATTAAGTGACACTCCAGATGCACAGTTTTCAACTGTTTCATACATATTTTAGTAGATTTCAATAATATTCCACCCACATTTACCAACACTTTAATTATTTCATACCATTTAGAAATATTCAAAATGCGAATTAATTATCTAGTTTAAAACTATTTCACACTGTATCACAAATTTTAAGACATACCAATCGAAAACTAATTGAAACCTGTTAAAAAATTTAATTATTTCCCTTTTCACAGTTTCAAGTATTTTGGAATTGTTTGGAAAACATCTTCTTTGTAAAAAATATATTTTTAAATCCATTTCTACATCTTTGGTATTTTTGGCATTATTTCAAACAAAAATATGTCGTACATGCATTGTAAGTTGTAACCAAATGTTTTTTTTAGTTCAGGAGCAAAGCTCTCCCAATTTCATTTTTCAAAAACAGTGACTTCAAAAATTGAAAAAGATTTGTTTTAGTGCCATTTTAGAAACACATATTTGAAATTAATGTTAAATACATCAAACAATTTATGATCATATTGGACAAACATTTCAAATTATTTCACACATGTTGAAATTTGAAATAATTTTATGACATTTTATCGACACCAATTTCAATAATTACATATGTATTTAAAAAAAACAAATTTTTGGAACAATCCAATGACATTCTAGAACACACATTTCAATAGTTTGAGACACATGTAGGTGAATTTTAATAAAATCCACACTCATTTAACGACAACTTTAATTATCCCATACCATTCAGGAATATTTAAATTTTCAGTTAATCATCTACTTTTAAACTATTTTCACACCATGTCATGAATTTCAGTACATACCATTCGGACTACTATTTAAAACATTTTAGAAATTTCAAGCTGGATATATATATCAAGCATTATTGCTAGACTACCACTCATTTTGGGGCATATACCCTGATGAGTATGCCTCTAATAACTTTGTTCCATTTTGTTGTTGCCCTCCGTCTTTACAATCTTCCACTGGCCTATTCGCTGCAAGATTGTACTAGTACCATATATGAAGCTGCACGCACGTCAAACACGCCAGGTGAGACACTCGTATCTTGTGCCGCCGTTGCCGTTGTTCTTGGACGACGGAGGAGGCTTCTTGCCGCCGGTGCCGAGGAAGACGTCTGTGAGGACAGTCTTGGACCGCAGCGAGGCCTTGAGGATCTCCAGGCCCTCCTTGTACCCGAGCTCCACGGTCCTCTCCTGGAGCGCGGCGAGGCCCCCGACGGCGGCGACGGCGCCGAGCCGCGCGATGCTGGAGATGGCCGACATGGGCGCGACGGCCAGGTCGTCCGTCACCGTGTACGTCACGGCCCCCTGCACGAACCCCGTCGTCGCCGCGTCTGCGCTCTCCTCCGGCTTGGCCGGCGGCGGCGGCACGTACTGGGACACGGTCGCCATCTCGTTCCCGCAGGCCGGGCACCGGGCGCCCCTGGCGTCGGACACGTACCCGCGGCAGCCTTGGTAGTTGAAGTGGTTGATGGCGCCGCAGGTGAAGAAGCTCCTCGGGGCCGGGGCCGGCGGCGCGGGCAGGCGGAGGAGCGGGCTGGCCTGCGTGGCGGGGCGGATGAGCGCGTCCTTGGCGAAGCCGGGCCGCAGGTAGCTGCCCTCGAGCCGCTCCACGCTGGCGTAGAGGTTGCCGACGCTACCCACCATGGACATGGACTCCTTCCCCAGCAGCCTCACGGCCGTGCCGGCCGGCAGGGTGAGGAGGGAGAAGAGGAAGTCGACGGCGTCCTTGCCGGCCTCCGCGAACACCACGCGCGGCCGCGGCGGCCTCGTGTCCACCAGGAGCTTCACGGTGATCGGCGGGGCACCGCCGGTGTCCGCCATCTTGGAGCGCCTCGATGCAACAACTTCCACTCTCCCTAGGTTGATTTCTTGGAGGGAATGGAATGGTCTGAATCTATATCACGGACGGACGCAGCATCCACTAGATTTTGCCTCCCAACATTGTCTGTCGGGCAACAAGGGAATCGTATCCTCTGCTTTCACGGTGAGAACCCATGGTGAGTTGATATTCTCCAACATATTGTAGTGCGTT